TGACTGCTCTGGTGATCCTGCTCTGGGGGGGTTGCACTGGGGGAGCTTTTGAGGACCATTCCAACTCCTGACGCTCTGCTATGGTCAGGGAAATCAAACCATGCATTTTCAGCAACACTTGTGGTTCATGACTGGTTGTGTATCACTGGTCATCTTAGACTTCTCCTCTGTGTTTCAACGCAGTTGTGTACATGAATGGAAACAGTTTACACGCAACTGAATCAGATCCAAAGGTCATGTTTTTTCCAAGTGCTTGTCTCTGCAGAGACCTGCTCATGCAGATAGCTTGCTAACAATTTTACACAGATGTCTACAGTTCAAGGGGTAGCAGCTATTAGGAAGTCTGCAATGTTACTGAATGCTTTTGTGTTTGTCAAGCACAGACAAGTATCACCAACATCACACAGAGCTGCATGTTACATGTGGTATTGCAGGCAATTTAGCAAATTTAGGCAAGTTCTGATGTGCCTTATCTGCACTTCTACTGCCAAACCACAAGAACAGAGATTACCATAAGATATACAAAAGTGCTTGAGAATCCATCTACCCAGAAACAACAGCAACAGGTTTCCTTTACTCAAAGTAAAGAGAATCCTCTCCGTAATTGAGTACTGAAAAGAAACAAAATGAGGGAGGAAGGAGTCTCTCCCCTTTGACCGTCAGCTCCTCCAGTGTCCAGGTCATCTCCACGCAGAACGCCCAGTTGACATGCCGGGACGGTTCACAAGATTTTCCTTCTTAAGCCACGCTACATGCAACAAGCAAAGTGCAAAAATATTTAGAGACGGACATGAAGGAGCGCGGTCAGAAGTTGGGCACCACGGGAAAGCGTGGAATGACCACGTGGGCCAAACGGTGGGCAATTTAACCCATTCCCATGAGCCACCAAGGAGACTCACAGTGCACCATGTCCTCCCAGATACTTCTTCCAGCAATGTCAACGCATAGAAGCGGAACAGGGGACTGAACTGCTGATGACCAAGCCTTTAAGCTGACTGCACACGTGCTCTCTTACTGATGTTTTCCCAGGCAGAGTTTGATAAAGCAGAGCAGCATTTTAATCAGTCCCTTTGTTATCCTGTACAGCTGAAAACTCACCTCAAGGCCCGCTGGCCACCTTGTTCTGGCACGCACCGGTGGAACCCGTAACTGAACAGACTTGCCACGAGCCTTCTTGGACTGGAGCAAGAGATACGCTGCTGACAATTGATCATATTTCCACTAGGAACACAGAAAAATAAAAAGGTATTGTAATCTCCTCTTTGGGAGCCATGTAAATACAAAGCAAGCTCAGCCTTCCGCACTTTTCTGCAAGTTTCTCTTCCTGACGTGCACCCCTAACGTTTGATGGCCTCAGTGCAGTTCAGATCTCAGCTCCCTCACGTGCGGGTGATCACAGAACAGACCACGGCTGGGGTCACAGCACGCTCCCTGCAGTGAAAACTACTGCTGGGGACACAGCCTCTCCACTGAAGTGAATGGCAAAGCTATTAACCCAGTTTAGCCAATATTTCAACCAGAAATTCTCAATGTTGATCTCAGTGAAGTCACCCCCCCCCCCAAATGTTTCCCCATGAGCAGCACCAACTTCTTGCATGATTTTCAGCAACTCTGCTTGTGTGAGGAACACGAATCCAACGCTTGACGGGTGTGCAGCTTAGCACAGCTATTTTGAATCTGTTATAAAGGATGAGAAGTCCTCCAGGAAAGGACTATGCAAATGCCACAAGTTTATTTGGAAGGACTTTTGCCTTTGTAGACAGATTATTCTGATTATTTCCAATAACTGGAGAACAAGTAGCATTAGCTCCACAAATTCGTTTTAATTAATCACACGCGTTTTAGAGGTCTGTTTCTACCACAGTTGTGTGGAAGCACTAACAAACAGCTTTCCCAAAGCGCAGATCTATGTCACTGCTACCATGTATAAAGCAGCAAAACATTTAATTTCAAGGGAGAATTCTCAGATTCGGGTTCAAGCTGGAGCACACATCCTGTCTTAAGGCTCTGCTACAGCCTGTGGTGCCACTGCTGCTGTTTGTACAACTCTCCCAGAAGCAGTCAGTTCAACTCCAGTCATCTGTATTCAAAATGACCAAACATATTCACTTCTTTTAAAACCTGTGTACAGTAACTCCCAAAAATGTACTTCATAGCCTGTCAGGGTGATGCTCTGGTATTTTCCATTGCTCTCCCCCCCCCTTACTTACTGAACCATTTCAAGAAAGTGTCATCCCCACAAATGCTGCTCA